AGTGTCACAAGTTTGTTTATGCATTGGCAGCTTAATTCCCTGGGTTTCCTTGCTGAACCATATGCCTAGCTCATTCAGACAAAAAAAAAATTTCCGCTTATGTATGGATTTTTTTCATGCCAAAAACATTTTGATGATGCCAACATTGAAGAGCCAATATAGCTGCTGAAAAAATAGGCTGTACTTCATTCAGTTTGCTACTGCAGTTTTGATTCATTACTGATAAATGTCCCCAAGATACATTGTAACTTATTCTTTCAAATACAAGACCCCTGGCATTGTTGGGAGTTACATTGATTTCATTTAAGCATATAAACAAATGGATTTGAGAAATTCTAACCCATTTACAAGTTATAATGCCAAGATAATATTAATGGAACTCTATTTAAAATTGTTTTTCTTTCTAAACATATATTTAATCACCTTTTAAAAACATGGTCAAATATTCATTTTTGGGAGGAAATGATTTGGTTTAGAAGCAGTGTTTCCTTTAACTTTTTTTCATTCTCTCCAGTTCATGGGGGTTACTGTAACTCAGAGGTCTCACATAACCTTCTTTCTTCTACTCTTGGAAATAAGTCTCCCAAAAATAGAGTGGCTAAAATCCTGTATTTTTTGGCAAGAGGAAAGAGAATATTATCTTTGGTTTGTTTCATTTCTTTAAAAAATAGCATATTTGGACTTAGCTAAGTTTGGGGCTAGGTAGAAGGAGGAGAGGTGATGTCTAGGAGATTCAGACTCGAAAACAAAAGAAACAGAAAAAAAATACTTGGAAGAAAGAAAACCCTCTTTAGACGACCCTCCTTCTGCTGAAATTGTGTTTTTGTATTCCATAACCATTAATGTCATCAACTTTTTATTTCAACCTATCACCACTCTAGTTCTCTCATTAGCAATGCTGATAATGTTATTGTAGCAACAGGTTAATCAACAAATATTAACTAAAGACTTATGGTAAGAGGATAGGTTGTAAAGCAACAAAGGAACCAGTTCTGCTTAGATACTCTCAACATAAGGAAAAAAAAGCCTTCCCTTCCCCAAAGCTAAATGGTAGGGGATCTGTGAACTTATTTTTTAAATAAATATTTTGATAACTATATTTCCTTTCTTTTTCTTTTGGTAACTTTCTTTTTGATAATTTGATTTCAGTATAATTGGCTTCCTTTGCAATAATAATAGCAATAATAAAAAAAATACAAGCTAACATTTATATAGCGCTTACTATGTGCCAGGCACTGTGCTAAGCACTTTACAGTTATTAGCTCATTTTATTATCCCCATTTTACAGATGGGGAAACTGAGACAAACAGAGATCACACACTAGTAAGTGACTGAGAATGAATTTGAACTCAGGTCTTCCTGACTCCACTGTGCCACCTAGCTGCCCTAAGTATTTTATCTTATTAATTTAAAAACATTATTCTGAGAAGAGATCCATAGGCATCACTCAATAGCCAAAAGAGGCCCCAACACACACACACACACACACACACACACACACACACACACACACACACACACACACACACAAACTTAAGAATCCCTCACAGAAAGTCTTGTAAATATAACAGGAGAGCACATCGGGCCAGTCAGGCTGGCCACTCGACAATACAGCTCCTGCCCAGCTACTTGCCCCTCATCGTATTAAATCTCCTCTATGAGCATCTCTGACCTCCAGTTTAGTTATAAGGATTGCTGCTCTTAAATTCAGCTCTGACAGCATGCCCAGCTCCCATTCTATAAAAGGCTGTAACTCTCACCCAGAGTCCCATATCCCATCATAGGGTCATATATTTAGAGTTAGTAGGGACTTTGGAGATCTCCGAATTCAATGAATGCCCACCTCAGCCTTTTTTGTTGTTGTTGTTCCAGACCTCTGATTTCATTAGTGTAAGAAGCTCCTGAAGTCAAAACTCTGTACAAAAACAGGAAATAGAATCCTGCTAGTAATTTAGAGTAGTAGAGACTTAATTGCCTGTGGCTGTGAGCAATTAAGTGAGTTGCCCTTGTTCACACAGCTAATATGCATGAGTCAGGGCTTGAACCCAGGGCTTCTGGAAGGCAAGGCCTACCCATTATCCATTACTTTAGTCCCCTCAAACTCACATAGAAACAGATCCCTCCAGACCTTATGTTGACTTAGAAAACCACAAACTAACATTATCTGTATTGTATTGTATTTTTATTTATTTTATTAAACGTTTCCCAATTATTTTGTAATCTTGTTCAGCTGACTTGTACTGGACAAGAGTTTGCCATCTTTACAACTACTCTATACTACGTCTCTAAAAATTAAAATTTATAGCATTAATTATGAATAATCTAAATTCCTTTACTAAAAAAAAGCTATAGCATGGATTAGAAAAATAAAAATCTACCCATATGTTGCTTACATAAAACACTTAATGCAAAAATACAAACAGATTAAAATTATGAGTGGTCTAAAATATGTCGTGCAACTATAAAGTCTTCCAAAAATCAGGAGCAGAGAGAGAGGAAAAGGGGGAGAGGGGAGGAAGAAAAGAAGAGGAGAGAGAGAGAGAATCAGAATCCTCTTCCTAGTTCTGGAAGGATTGTTGTGAGAGGCTCAAGGAAAGAAAAGAAGATTTGGAACAACCTCAGTAGGGAGTGGAAAAGAGAATCAGTAAAGGAGAAGTAAAAGAATTTTCTTACTAAATAGAAGGCTCAGATAAAATTAGGTAATATAAATTTTAGTGGACTCAGTTAGCTGTGTTTCGTTATTTCTGACAGATATGTTCAGACGCATGTCAGTAAGAGTGGAGGAGGCAAGTAGTAGGAGTAATATGAAGTTGGCCTTTGCCAAAACACTATCCACCTATAAACTCAATATGCATCAACAGTGTGACATAGCAGCCAACAAAAAGCTTATGCAATTTTAGACTTATGATATCCAGAATTAGGAAAAGGATTCTCTGTTTTGTCTTTCCCTCCCTTCCCCCCTCTCTTTTTCTCCCTTCCCTACCTCTTCCTCCTTTACCCCTTTCACTCTCTCCTCTTCCTTTTCCTCTTTTCCTCTCCCTGACCTTGATCTAAAGCATTATATTCATCCTTGGGAACTACATTTTCAAAGGGATGTTGATAAGTAGAAGTTTGTCCGTAGGAGAAGGTGGTGAGGGGCCGGGAAATTATTCCATGAGGATCAAATCTTCACATTTTAAAGGGCTGCTATTCCTAAGAGGAGCTAGTTTGACTTGGTTGGCTCCAGAGAGCAGAATCAAAAATAATAAATACAAATTACAGAAAGGCAGTTTTTGGTCCAAACTAAGGAAAAGCTTCTTACCTGTCTACTTAGGGATTCAAGAGCTTTGGGAGATAGTAAATTTCCTATCAGCTGTCAAAGTTATTTCCTGTTCAGATATGGTTCACACTGGATGATCTCTGAAGTCTCTTCTAACTCTAAAATAGTATAATTCTAAGAAAATTTACTTTCAGATTACAGCTATTTCAGCAGCACTTTGCCTTCCTACTCTCATAGTTTATAATGATGACCTTTTAGCCCAGTATAACATTTTCCCAAATAACACAACATGCATTTATCCTAATTGTTGCCTGAATAATTTCATTTTAAATATCTTTTAAATTGTAATATGTACACCTCTCATCAGTCAATAAGGTACACTTTTTCTCTCGAATATTTCGATTTCCAGTTTTTACTTTGTTTATTCTTGATAGCGTCCGAATATAATAATAAGTGGTTTTTATTTTCTTAATCTTGGGGCAATTCTACTTCTTTAATTAGAATATTTTTGTTCTATGCCATTGTACATTTTAAATAGAATTAAATAAACTATTACAAAAAGAACCAGCCAGAATGGAGGTAGTGGTAGAGAGCTGATCCTACAGTCATGAAGACCTGGATTCAAGTTCTGCCTTTGACATACTGGCCATGTGACACTGGTTAGTCACTTCTCAGTGCCCTGGGAAAGCGACTTTAGGTTGCAGAGTAGGTGCAGATCAGCATCGTGTCCTTACAGGATACAGAAATCAAAGGTTTGGACTGCATTCTAATGAAATCACAAGTTTGGGTTCCCTGTATCCCTAAAAAGGTATGGAGTAAAATTTAAATCATCTAAGTATCATGGCACAAAAATGACTAAATAGAGCAGGTGATTTCTATGTTATGCAAAATAGCATTGACTCCCATCAGTGTTATCTAGAAGTTGTATAGGAACTTAGAAAAATAATAGAATCCTAATGAAGTCATGCCACCTTACTACCTCTTACATAGAAATTTGATGATAACATTAATTGAAATGTTATGTTGCCTATGATGTTTATCTTTATTACCCTCTAAAGGTGAAATTCCAAATATTTTTTGTCACGGGTTACAAATCCTGCCTGACATTGAAATATGGTCCCTTGATAAGCTACACATCTTCATATTGGTTTGAAAGAGCAAGCAATGGATTAGCTACTATGAATTTCTCTGTTTACTGAGTTTTAAATCTCTAGTGTTTATTTTTAAAATAAGAAATAAAATAGGTTTGCTTTAATTAACAAAAAAGAAATACATGGAACCAGTACCACCTCTGGTTTCACAAATGAAGCGATACCTAATGGGTTTATCTCCTTTAATTGGGGCCCCTGCTCACCGCAGTGGAATAAAAATTAATTCTTCTATTCCCATTTGTCACTAAGTGAAGACTTCCTCTAATCTCAGACTTTCCACAAATCTCCATGTACTAAACTGGGTGCCAGTGACATAAGAAGCTCAGTTTGATAATTTTTGGCCATACTCTCGTACATCATTTGTGAAACTGAAGTTGGCTTTTCAAACGTGAGAAAGGTATGTAAATAGTGCTTTCCAATGCTCTTTGTGAAATTGATTATTTTTTTTTCTTTTTCTTATTTGTTTATAAAAGGAAATTTTATTTGGGAATATCTCACATACATTGTTTGAACTCACCATCACCTTTTCTATTCCCCCTTCTCTCCACTTTTCCTCCCCTACCCCACCCCCTCCCTCATATTTGTTGCAGACCAGGATGAAAAAGCAGCTGATCTTAGCAGGGAACAGAATGAGAAGACTATCCGAAGTACTCAGACTGCTCTTCGCAATTTCCGGGAGTTCCTCATCTCTAAATATCCTTCTGAAACAAGGGAAATTTATGTCATTCCTTGCAAGGAACTGGATGATTATCTTGCTTCTTTCTTTGTGGATGCCAGGCAGAAAGATGGGTCTGAGTATGAGCCAAACAGCTTGGCTAATTACCAATGTGGTTTGGAGAGGTACCTCAAAGAGCACAGGTATGGCTACAGTATCACAAGGGATAAGGAATTCAAGAGGTCGCAAGAGGCTCTGAAACAAAAGCAGATTGAGCTCCGGTGCAAAGGTAAAGGAAACAAACCACATAAATCCATGAAACTCACCTTTGCTGATGAGCTCATTCTACGCAAAAGGGGATTGTTGAGCCGATATAACCCCGAAGGGTTGCTCAATCTTGTCTGGCTCAACAACACTAAAGCTTTTGGACACTGTACAGGCTTTCATGGATCCACCTTGAAATGGGGGGATATCCGACTCCGAGTAACTGAGACGGGCTTAGAATATTTGGAGTGGATGGGCCAGGACACTGGTGACCTGAACACCAAGACCAAAAGAGGAGGAACTGACTCCAGAGTGTATGCTACTCAGCATGCTCCCCAGACCTGCCCGGTGCAAGATTACAAAGAGTATGCTCAGCGGAGGCCGCCGGCCATGCGGTATGAGGATGCCCCATTTTATTTATCCATCAAGCCTGTAGTAAACCTGGCTGCACTCCATTGGTACAACTGCCAGGCACTGGGCAAGAATAAACTGGCCAAGATGGTGAAAACAATGTGTGAGAAAGGCAACATCCCTGGCAGGAAAACCAACTTCAGTGTGTATCAGAGTTGCAGCACCCTCTCTGAAGCACAAAGCAACCAGCTGGTGCTGATATGTAACAATTTAAGCCAGCAAGCTGCCCAGTCCATGGCTAGCCACTCCAGCAGTGGCAATTTCATAGTCTCTGCCTCATATGATTCTTCCTCAGACACCACTTGACTACTTCAGGGGCGTAAGCAGGACAATTTTGAGAGTTCAGACTTAATTGTTTTTGTGCCCAATAATACACGTCAACTGTGATTGTCATGGGACTTCCTGTCCCATCCCCTTGTCCCGTCTTAACTAACTTTATAAAAATATAAATATATAATATATTTTTTTCTTTTTACAAATAATTCAATAGAGATAGTTTAGTATTACTAACATAGTATTTATAGGTTAGGACAAAATGAAAACTACTTATGGGTGAGTTATTAAAACTGTAGATTTTACACATGCAAAGTATATTCAGGCAACATAAGACAGAAAAGGAATTCTGGGTTTTTTTGAAACTTTACCCATGGAAATAGTGTGTCTCCACACAAGGGCTGACCTCTCCATTCACTTAATCAATGATTTTCTTATTTTTTTAAAATTATGTCCTAACCAAGAGAAGACAACACTTTCTCTGAGTGTTTTCATTACACTTGTTTGTACTCAGTCACATCCAGAAAAGGAAAAGCTATTGATATAAACTTGAAACAATTCCAAGTATTTTCATCCTTTTCTTTCTTTTTAGTCTGCTCAGAATTTTGACTCCTGTGGTCTATAGGAAAAGTCCAGTATTTTTACCTAGCACCTCTTCTTTTTTCTGTGATAAAGAGATTTATTTTGGAATACTTATATTGCTTTCAACAATATGCAAATATGTCATGACAAAAAGACTGTTAATACAACTAAATTCTACTGTTGTAAAGTGAATGCTGATTACCAGAGGCAGTTCTTTCTGACCTGTGAGAATGCAGTGTCAATTGCCCTATAATTATCGTTTTTTCCAGGTAACAAAACTTCAAATCTCTCCATAATCAGACTCTGTGGAAGATCACAATGGAGGATGGTTGAAGGGGAAGGGTAATTATTTAAATTATAGAAGAACTAACACGGGCAATAAGAAATCGTCCTCTTGCAAATGAAAATCCTCAACACTTCCCCATAACCACTACCCCGTTATTAAAGTTTGGTAACACTTGCTTTGATTTCCCTCCACTTTACCTGACCACCTAGTTGAAATAGAAGAATAATTGACAGCTAAATCTTTTCAGGTTGTACCATTTTTATTACCAGACATATTTGAATTTAAAGCAGCTTCTTAAATAAATTTCTGCTATATTAAATGTGAGAGTATTCTTTATCAAGAGTACTTTGTGAATATTGCTCTTTCTTAGCTTTCCAAGGATTACACATTTCAACTTTTGAAGCCTGTGATTAGACCAAGTCAGAATATGTAAGATACTTTAAAGCCAAACGAACATAGGGAAATCCCAACCCAGGGTAGCTTTTTAAAAATAAGAAACCAAAAACACAAAGCCATTTTCTCAGTATGACACTGTAGCTTAGCAGATGTAGCAACACATTAGATCCAAAGCTAGTTTGCCTTGGCAGCTGTCTTGGGCATTTCACTAGTAGAGAAATGTCTATTCTTCAAGACAACTTTATAAATGATATCAGTTATATAGAGCTTATTGGTGTTTTTTGTATTTATTTAGTGTAATTCCAGGGACAAGTCTCTTCATTGGGTTGGCTTTTCCTTTATGTTACTAAGCCAGAATTGATCACAATAATTAAGAACTCCTGTGACAGAAGCCCCATGTGCATGCCCCCCCCTTTTTCTCTATACCTCTAACTCATGGACTTGCCTTATATGGGGTCACATCCTTCCTGGCAGGCAGCTAGAATGGCAATTCTGGCATTGACATTGTTGAGCTTTCTGTTTTTTTGTAATGGTATTTTTGGCCATTTCTTAAAGGGGGATTGAGAAGAAGGGATAGAAGACTTTGCAAGGATCAGCTTTTGCTTTAATTACTAAGTACTGACATATTGTACTGTAATACTCTGTGTAGATACAACTTTTGGTGTTTAGGGGCAGAGACTCACCAGAGATGGCAGCATAGTTACATAAACTTATAAAGAAGGACTGAGGCTTAGTAGTAATGGTGAGTAATATTTTTAATGCTATCCCCAGCCTCCTCGTAGCCATCAGTATTTCTGTTCATTCTGAACTAGTTTCCCTTTTCTGATTACTTTTACCATATTCTTCTGTTCTACCTTTTCCTCTTTGTTATGCTTAAGAATTGCCCTTTCCTCTAGGAAGTTTTATGAGTGGCTTTTGTTTTTATATCACAATCATTTATGGATATCTCCTACCAAGGCCCATTCCTCATCCCTGGAAAATGAACTATCTCTCATAAGGAAAAAAAAAGTTAGACAAAAAGAAAAAACCTGACTAAGTGACCATATCTGAAAATGTATACAACATTCTACTCTCATAGTCCCCCCACATTTTGCCAAGAGCAAGGAGGTATGTTTTCTTTATGTATTCTCCAGGAACATTATTGGTTTTTTCCTTATTCAGATTTTGACTTCCTTTTAGTGATCTTTTCATTTACAGTGTTGCAATCGTGTATATTGTTCTTCTCATCCTGCTTATTTCATTCTGCATCAGTTCATGCAAATCTTCTGATGGTTCTCTTATTTCCTAATATTTGTCATTTCTTACTGCACAATATTTCTCTGCATTCATAAACCACAGTTTGTTCAAGGCTGACCCATTTTAAATGGGTTACCTCTAAAATAAAAGGAAATATTCCTATGAAAGCACTTAAAAACTCATGTAATTGTGCATTTATATTTGCATGTTCACAACGCTGATTTAGCCTAATCATCTTATGTGGGTTCGTGTTGTAGTTTTTGTGGCATGTTATGTTTATCCTGATGAATAAATAAATCTTGCAAATGACAAGCGAACCCAGATGCATTGCAAGAAAAGTCCTATTTATGATGTTCATTGAGGTGCTAAATGAACCAAACAAAAAAAAATCCATCCTGGCTAATCTTGTCATAATTTAAATTTGTTCAATTGCATCAAAACTTCGATTTAAAATATCACTTTTTTTTTAACTTAAGAGGACTATAAAGAACCTTTCAAATGGTATTAGTGAAGTCACACCAAGTGGGAACATTGCTGCCTTGAGTAAAAAGTCTCCTTTCTAGCAAAGGAGTTGGGAGGAACACAGTTTAATTATAAGCTGTTCAGTTCTGGAAAAGGCTTCTTATTTCCTATTATCTTGAGGTTTCTATCCTAATACTGTAGAAGAAAACCTTTACATTGTAAAATACTGCTGAAAGATACAGTTCAGAAGATTTGTAATTTAAATCATTTTTAAAGAACTGTGTTTGTTCCATGACAGAGGTATGTTCAATAACCATCAACAACCATGTATGTCTTAGCTAAATCAAATTCATCACACAAGGGATTTTTTTAATGTATTATATTTGCTACTCAGCTCTACCATTCAACTTTCTTAAAGCCAATTTAAAGAAGATTCACATCAAACCAAATACCAGTTTATCTTCTGGGTTCTGAAAAATTAGCATAGAAAACACTGGTATATGTTCACACACAAAGGTAATCATTTCAAATGCTAAATATTTTTCTACACTAATGTCTTCCATAGCCTTTTATTTGAAAGGTTATTCCACCCATAATGAAATGGGCTTTTTTAGTACTATCATGAGATATGGTGATCACTACTAAATTATAGCAGACAATCCCATAGTACAAACAGTGCCCCCAAAGCTACATGCTTGTAAAGTTTACATTCTCAGTTCAAAAAGTAAAGTGTCGTACTCTGTGTCCACTCACATGAATGTTATTTTCACGTTGGCACAAATAGAGAGACCTGCTTTTATTTGACTACATAACATTCTATGTGCACATTTGCAAGTATTTGAATAGAATATCCATGTGTTTAATTCCTATACTTTCATCTTGTGTTTATTTGAAGAACTTCATATTGAAAAACCTGAACACATGGATTCTAGTGTGTAGATTTTAAGAAATCATTTGGTAATGAGAAAAGGAAATTTTTATGTTCTGTATATGTCCTGAGAAGTCTTCAAATGTCTAATTTGGTCATTTGACTCCATATTTATGTTTCAGGTTGCATTTCTCATACTTTCTAATTCAGGATATGACTTCAAAAAGAGTTTAATTCAACAAACCAGACTAAATTATGTTGAATCACATTTTGGGGACTTGCTTAAATTTTTCTACAGGTGAATAACCAAACTTTTAAGAATTATTAAAAATCAATTGTTGTTTTGGCATTGAAGGATTTTCCTAATATTTAAAACTGTTTAAAAATGGAGTACATCACCTCCTGAATTTAAGTAGAGGCTAGATGATCAGGGAAATTGTAGAATGGATTCCTTATTAATACTACAAGGAGGGTCTTATACTAGGTGGACCTTTAAGGTCCCTTTCAACCTTAAGATTTTCTATGATTCCACGAATCATAGAGTAGCCTTTGGTAATCATGTTACAAGGCACATGATACACTAGTCTATCTAAAATGCCATTAGTTTGTGTATTGTTATGAATGAACTGTATTTTATGCAGTTCTTTAATGAGATGCATAAATTATATCTGAGATACACTCACAAAAATAGAATTTGTTGCTACTAATTTAATATGAAATAGTAAAGATTTATGTTACTTTGTTTTGACTATTTTTTAAATGGGCCCTTTTATATAGATTTATTTTTATATTTTTCTTTGCTATTTTGATCAACATGTGGAGAATTCTCCGGAGAAATATTTGTATGAATAATTACATTTGGCATCTCAAGAAGACCCTTCTTCAGGCATCCACATTTACCTTCATTTAACATGAAGAAAGGTGATGGTTTTTTTCCCCCATATTCAGGTAGCCAAATAATTCATGAAGTAAAATACTATTCCATTGCTGTGTGTGCTAATGATGTGCTTACTATACTCATTACCAAATTATGTCAGTGTCAAGTTCAATTCATGTACAACTGTTACTTACCCGAGGTCAAAGTTGTTCAAATGACCAATAGTAGAGGATGATTGAGATCTTATGGGAAAGCGCTTAAACCCATTACCCCAAATAAATAGCATTCCAGATGCCAAATACCTAAAGAAAAGTAGTCACATCTTTATTGTATCATTCCTGGGGAGCTTAGGTTGGCAGAGAAACAGTGTTACATCTAACTTTAGGTAAGAAATTCAGTTTTTCAACATCCTCTAGCACTGCGAAATAAGTCTCATTTAATGCTGCATTATCCATTTTCCCATGGAATAGGGGAATGCTAAATTTACCATACTTTACCCATCCATCCCTGCCACTTTCTTAGCAAAGGGAGTTAATGAGGAAAGGTGACAGCATTCAGTTTTGCAGCTATTCAGTTGCCTGAGCCATAAGTATTCTAATTCAAATACTTGTGAAATATATTAGGCCTGTTTAGAGGAGAGTACCATTTTTTGGTTAATTTTCTTAATATTACTGTGTGGTCTACTTAAGAGAAGTCTGACGAAATCCTGGTAAATATCAGGTCAATTATATTTTCAGGAAATTGTGTATTAGCCAAAATTCCCATAGACTATTCTAACATAGACAGTAATGTTACTTAGCCTATAGGTGTAATGCAATTAAATTACTGTGGTGAAGCTTTTTCCCTTTCATTTCTTTGGGGGAGAGGGGCAAAGAGAAGGGCTCCAAACTGATGTTTTCATTGGCCCATCCATGCTGATTAACAATGTCTGCAATATCTCTTTAGACAATTCCTAGGGTCACTGAGAAGTTAAGTGATTTGCCTTTGGTCACATGGCTATTAAATAGCAGAGGCGGGTCTCAAACCTAAGTATCCCTTATTCCAAAGACATGAATAATGGCTAGCATTTATATAGTGCTTTAAAGTTTTTGCAAAGCACTTTACATATATTATCTCATTTCATCCTCACAATAACCCCAGAAGGTAGGTGCTATTATTATCCCCATTTTACAGATGAAGAAACTAAGGCATACAGGGTCAAGTGATTTGCCCAGGGTCATACAGCTGGTAAGTTAGTGTCTGAGACCCCATTTGAACTCATCTTCCTGACTCCAGATGCAAGGCTCTATCTATTGTACCACTTAGCTGCCTCTATTCTCTCTACCATTCTTCTTCTCCAACATAAACTTATGAAGTCAAATTAAATCAGCAAAATATTTATTGAACATTGCTAGACTCAGTGAGGTATTCAAAGAAGAAAGATTAAGACAGTGTTCCTGCCCTCAAATAGTTACAACAGTTAATTTGTATTTGAGAGAATAATATATGCATATGCCAAAACAAAGTGTTTTATCTAATTTGACATTGTTTATGCACATTAACTCATTAAAAATTCATTGCATAATTTGTTCATTTGTGGAAGACACTATGATACTACTGCCTCAGCCAGGAATTTGACTTCCTTTTACTCTTATTCCAATGAATAAATCACACACATGATAAGCAAACTAAGAAATACATAATTAGACCACTAGGGGGGAGGGAGGATGTCTTATTATTTCTTAAATATCTAGATATCATATCACCACCTCTTTTATGTGCACATATTCATTACACCCTACAGACATACGAATATTGCTGGCTGTCCTTTTCTGAGAGTGGACTGCTAGGGAGTCAATAAACCAGGAAAGAGACTATCCTCATTCCTAATGCCAGGGAGAAAGGTCCCCAAAGCAAATAAAATTGGCAACATTCTTTAACTTGATATACA